GGGCGACCTGCTAGTGTGATGGTAGTGTTGTTGCTGCTGCTGCTGCTGCTGCTGCTGCTGCTGCTGTTGCTGCTGCTTCTGTTGCATGAGTTTGGCCCTTTGCTGCTGCTGAGCAGCCATCTGTTTGAGCTGCTCTGCTGGAGACATGTCAGAGCTGGGCACAGCCACAGGGCCTGACCCTGAAACAGCCACTGTCACTGCTGCTGGATTAAGGAGATAACCATTTCCAGGCCGAGGTGGAGCTTGGCTTGGAGTGTGGGCTTGGTTTGGAGTTTGAGGGGACTGAACAGCACAGTTTGCTGGTGAGCTGGCGGGATTTGGAGCTGCGGGAGTGCTGGCAACAGAAGGTAAATTGGTGGCTATGGAGACAGTAGAAAAGGGAGGTCCAGAGGAAGAAGGCCTTGTCTGGGGAGATCCTATGGAGACATGTCCAAAGGGAGAGTGAGAGGGGTCACTCTTCACACTTGCACTCTCCTGGGAAAGAGGGGTCTCAGCTGCTGGCTGTGAGAATTCTGGCTCTTTCTTCTCTTCGAAGTCTTCGTTGAACAGGTCTTGTATGTCATCTTCAGGAACTGTGTTGGCCAACTCATCTATTAATTCTTGCCACTCCTGATCATTCAGGTTAATGTCCGAGAACAGCTTGTTCTGATTTGAAAGAGATGTTTCTGATGTGTCTATGCACGTAGGGTCATCTAAAGGCTCTTGTTTCAGGTCCTTGCTCTGCAAGATGGTAAAGGTGTCCTCGAGGTCACTGCAACCATTGACAGGAAGCTTAATCTCAGGGAGTCTACCATTCTTACTCAGGTCTTCTAGAAGCCCAGGAGTATGGCTTCCACTATTCTGCAAGGGCAAAGAAGGCTTCAGGTCAAGTTGGTGAAGAGGAGAAGCTGAAGGCAGTGGCATGTTATTGGGCAGACTGTTGATGGCTTCCATCCCTGTTGGAATGTCCTTTCGGAGTCGCTTGCTAGTTGGAGAAAAGCTCCCATCGCAAGCGCCATTCTGCTGGTCTCCATTAAGTGGTGATCGGGCTCCTTCCAACTTCCTTTTCACAGTCTCTTGTAGCTGGAAAAGAAAACAGGCAAAAGGATGACTCGATCTCCAAGTCATATTTTACTCTTTAAGCATTGTGATGTACATTGCTATGAACTGACTTTAAAATGGGTTTGAACACATAGGAAAAAAATTATACTTCTAATTTCAAAATAAGGCAACACAGCAATTCAAATTCTACAGGAAAATATTTTACCTGAAAGTAGAGCTCACAGGGCTAAGAAACAGAAAACAAACTAAAAGTTGAAGGGTGGGGAGCAAAAGAAGGGAGACAGTTAAAGACAGGATTGTTTCATAGGGAAGAATCTTTTATTATTTTTCAAATAAATGCCAGACATGAGACTTGGACCCAAATTGTTTATGTTTGAGACAGATGTTAGTGCCTATGTTAAATCTTGCCATACCATATCTTAGTTGAGAACATCAAGGAATGAAATCAACAATATCTGAAAGAATACTAAAAAAACCACTAAGATTATGGAATTTATCACATTTACTGAATAGCATAGGACTGAAGGTTATGTTTAATATAACCCAAAACTTCCTTTCAGTTCTTATTTTACCTCTCCTTTCAGCACCTCTTGGTATAGTATCTTTCTCTCTCTCTCCCTTTTTCGAGAGATATGTGCTAGAGGGCCACGTGCTCACTGGATACACAGAGACAGAAAGTGAGAAATTACCTCCCAGGAGGGATGGCCATGCTGCTATCCCTTCTTCTCCATTCTCCTCTTGGGATTTTGGACACACACGCACACATGAGTTCAAGCTGCTGGATCTGGGACTTGAACTGCAGTTGATCATGTGGGAGTCCAGAGCCTTAACCACTTTGCCACCTGCTGGCCCCATCCCACTCTCTTTTAAAAGCACATTTCCATTGGTTTCCATGCTATCACACTCTTTTGGATTTCCTCCTTTCTCTCCACCTGCTTTTTCTCCTAAATGATTAGATCCTTCAATGTTTTCTCTTAACCTTATTTTTCCTTCTGTTCACTCTACACGCTTGCCCAAATGGTTTCATCTATTACAGCGGCTTCAACTATCTTCCCTAGGCAGACGACCCCACAATAGTATCCCACCCTGACGTTCTCTGCTGCTCAACTCCACTAGTGCCAACATTCTCCTGGGTGTTTCACAGACATTGAACTTACTGTCTTTTCTTTGAATACAATCTTGATTTTCACCAATGTTCGCCATCTCAGTATCTACCCAGTTACCCAAGTCACAAACCTGAGCGTTTTTCTTGAAACCTCCTACATCACCAGTCACCAAGTCCTATGCCTTCTACCTCGCAAATCTACCTCTGCTGTGCCCACACACCTCGGTCCTCTCTGCTACCATCCTGGTCTCTCTCTGGACTGTTGCAATGCTCTCCTCACTGGTCTCTTTGCCTTGCCTCCATGGACCTACCCATTCACCCTCCCAGCTTTTCTTTTATTCATTGTTTCATTCTGCCTTAATCTATTTTCTATATTGCTACCTTCTCCAAAAAAATAAATTGCCCCTTCTGTTTTTACTCTGCCATGACTTCTACTGTCTCTAGATTAAAATCCACCTGGCTCCTGCTCATCTTTCCAGGCTCGCCTTCTTAGCTCTCTACTCAGCATCAGCCTCCTCCTCTCCCACCACACATTTTTCTACCAACTCTTCTGAAACTCTTTTAGTTCCTTAAATGGGCCCTGCGTTCCTTCTGCTTCCAAGGCATGGTATGTGTTTTCTTTTCTAGAAACATACTTCTCCCCCTCCCTTTCCTCTTTTCCTGGTTAATAGCCACTTATTTTTCAGGTCAAATCTCAGATTTCATTTACTTTAAGAAGCCTTCTCTTATATCCCCTCACCACCCCATCTACATTAGGTGCCTCTTCCTCCTCTTCTTCCTCTTCTCTTTTTAGGAGTATTTATTTCATTTTATTTATTTAAATTTGCTATAGGACACATGCGCTCACCAGAGAGGAAGAGAGAAAGCAAAAATGCAAGTTGCTGGGTCCAGGACTTGAACTGCAATTGGCCATGTGGATTGGCCCCTACATGCCTTCTTTGACCTACCCAAACTGGGCTGGAAATTCCAGAATAAGTTTCCCCACCCATCTATACTTCACCATCATCACTTTTACCATACTTTTGGGCAATGGTCTAAGTGTGCCATGAAGGTAGGGACTATGGCTGACTCACTCACTGTGTGTCCAAGGGCTCAGTGCTCACACTCCGTGCTCAGCTTCATATCTGTGGTTAATAAATAACTGCAAAGCAAATGATCAATTCTGTTGTCTGATCTGAAGGGGCTAAAGAGGTGAGTCTGTATCAGAGCAGGAGACCACCCCATTGACCAGAAGGAACGCCCAATTTTGAGACTCCATGTTCCTGGTAATAAGTGTGATTGATCTCTTAGCCTCGAGAGTGTTATGTCCACTTAGTCAGACTCATTTTAGAAGTCCAGTTAAGGGACCAGCAGTTAGCGTAATGGCCATGTTGCTGGACTCCCATATAGTCGACTGCGGTTCGAGTTCCGGACCCGGTGGCTTAAACTCACGCCGGGCACGTGTGCGTGCGTGCCCAAGATCCCAAGAGGAGAATGGAGGAGAAGGGATTGCGGCGTGGCCATCCCCCCTGGGGGGTGATTTCTCGCTTTCTGTCTCTCTGTCTCTCTTTGTCTGTCTGGTGAGCTCACGTGCCCTATAGCAAAAACCTCTCCAAAAAAAAAGAACCTGACTGGGACCAGCAGATGGTGTAATGGTTATGTCGCTGGACTCCTACATAGTCGACTGCAGTACGAGTCTTGAACTGGAGGCTTAAAACTCACACCGGGCACATGTGCACGTGTGCCCAAAATCCTGAGAGGAGAATAGAGGAGATGGGATTGCAGTATGGCTATTTGCCCGGAGGGTGATTTCTCACCTTTTTGTCTCTCTGGAGAGCGCATGCGCCATAGAGCAAAAATCTCAAAAAGAGACTGACTCTATTTTAGAAAGCACAAGTCTATGATGCTCTCCTAGGTCATCAATGGAGACAGATGCTCCATTTCTTCTTTAAAATGATGTTAGCTGGTTCAAGTCCCAGACCCAGCAGTTTGAAAAACACACCCAGTCGCATGTGTGTATATGCCCAAAATCCTGAGAGGAGAAGGGATTATGGCATGGTCATCACCCAAGGGTTTTTTTTCTCTCTCTCTGTCTCTCATGTGCACAAACTCATACACCCTCTAGCACATTCAAAAAAAAAAGCACAAAAACACTGGTGGTCAAGACCACAGAGACAGACAGACAGACTTATCCGCCTGGGAACCCCAAGCTTCACTTCCTAGCAGCTGAGTGGGCCTGGCTGGGTGACATAGTGTAGTTCAGTATTATAGTAATAGCACAGGCTCTGGAATTAGAACGCCTGGGTTCAAACTCAAGATCCCCTCCCCAAGAGTTACTATATGTGCATGTTGTCTGGTTCTGAATACAGGTTGGCTATGAAACCATGTCTCTTAGAAAGCAAGTCACATGAAGGCAGGGATGTTTCCATCTTGCGTACTAATGTGTCCCCAGCAGCTCAGAGTAAACAATAAATATCTGGCAGAATGAGTAAGTCCTTGAAAAGTTGTTTAACCTCTCCCAAGTCCTGGTTTCCTTATCTGCAAAGTGGGTCAATACCTGGCTCAGAGAGTTACCGTGAGGATGAACTGAAAGGAAATATATAAAAAGCACTCCGTTTCACACCTGATACCCAGCAACCACCCACGAAGCCTTAGCTGGGCTGCTTTCAAAATCCTGCCATCCAAATAGTCACGATGGTTTCCTGGATCTTCCAAACACAAATAGGTAGGCTGATAATATTTCTACTCCCTCACCGGCAAAACCCTAACGTTTTCCAAGCATCTGGTGTAGCTTTTTTAATATGAACAACAAAAATCAAATTTGCAATTCAAGCCCAAGTCCAAGCGCTAATGCATTCGTGCCCTAGATTACGGAACAGCAGAGCTAGATTGTCGAGGTTCGAATCAAATACGTTTTCAGGGCACCACCTGCACGGAGCCGCTGAGCATTTCCTTTTCCTTGAGGGCCCAAAGTGCTCCACCGCTGGCCCCTTTAGCCCACATCTTGACAGATATTTCACACGTCAGCATTCTGCAACGTAAGGAAGACATCACAGGAGATGCTATGCGAAGGCTTTTATGTTTTCTTTTGTTATGTCCAAAACAGAGAGCAATCTCAGCATCTGTCTGTCTCGTGGCTCTTTGTTATATGGGAAGGTGGCCTGAGAGCTTAATTCTCTCTTTATGTCCCTCGCGGGAGACAGAAGGAGAGCGGGGAGGGAGGGAGGGAGGGAGGCAGCACCGGCTGTGGGTCTGAGCATGACGGCGGGCGTGCAAGCACCTGCTCCGGGAGCTTGCGTGTGGTTGACTGCAGCAGGCAAACGTCCTTGGGAACCCCACCCCTCCACCCACAGGACTCAGCTTAGGGCCTCATCTCCCAAAGCCTTATCTTGGGGAGTCCTTGGCCCTCCTGCTTCACAAAGCTGGAAGCCTCTTAGGGTGATGGTGCCTTCGTGGAAGAACCACAGGGGCTCTTTCCTGAGCACCCGCCCCCTCACTCCTGGATTACTATTATTACGTGCACATGTTTTCTCCCACGAAGGGAAGCTGGGGTGCTCGGAACTGAAGGACGCTGTTCACTCAGTGCCTGTGACAGCACAAGCCCAGATCGTCAGCTACTCTGAGGGAAATGATTCCTCCACCGTAATGGCTCCAGCATGAGTGGGGAGCTTGTGTTGCTGTGACACTGTCATGTGTGTGTGTGTGTGTGTGTGTGTGTGTGTGTGTGTGAGAGAGAGAGAGAGAGAGAGAGAGAGATGGAGGGAGGAAGGGAGGAAAGGAGAAAGACAGAGAAACTGAGAGCCAGAATGGTTGGCGAGGCGTGCATTCCCACAGACCAGCTGTAATAAGAGCTGTGTCTCCTATAAGAACACTCGTCCACCCAGGAAGGATCCTGTTTCATCCTCACAGAAAACCTTTGGGGCAGGCCGTGTGCTGG